CAAGTCTGTTCTCTACTAGGATCATCAGTACCATTTTTCTAGATACTATATATATTGCGTTAATATACAATACTTGCTTTTCTCTTTCTGACTTCACTCTGTATCAGAGGCTCTGGGTTCATTCACTTCACTACAGCTGACTCAAATGCATTCCTTTTTATGGCCGAGTAATATTCCATTGTATAAATGTACCACAACCTCTTTATCCATTCATCTGTCAGTGGACATCTGGGTTGCTTCCATTCCCTTGCTGTTGTAAATACTGCTGCAGTGAACACTGGGGTACATGTGTCTTTCACAATTGTGTTTTTTCTCAGGGTATATGACCTATAGTGGGATTGCTGGGTTATTTAGTAGATTTATTCCTAGTTTTTAAAGGAATCTCTGTACTGTTTTCCGTAATGGTTGTATCAGTATACATTCCCACCAGCAGTACAAAAGGGTTCACGTTTCTCCACATCCTCTCTAGAATTTATTGTCTGTAGATTTTTTGATGATGGCCATTCTGAGTTGTATGAATCTTTGATTTGTATTTCTCTAATAATGAGAGATGTTGAGCATCTTTACATGTGTTCATTGACCATCTGTATTTCTTCTTTGGCGAAATGTCTATTTAAGGTCTTTCACCGATTTTTTGATTGAGCTGTTTGTTTGTCTGATATTGAGCTGTATGACTGCTAATATATTTTGGTTATTAACCCTTTGTCAGTTGTTTCATTTGCAATTATTTTCTCCCATCCTTTTCATCTTGTTTTTAGTTTCCTTTGCTGTGCAGAAGCTTTTAAGTTTAATTAGGTCCCATTAGTTTATTTTTGTTTTTATTAGTCTAGGAGGTGGGTGAAAGAGGATCTTGCTGTGATTTATGCAAAACAGTATACTGTCTTTGGTTTCCTCTAAGAGCTTTATAGTTTCTGGCCATACGTTTAAGTCTTTAATCCATTTTGAGTTTATTTTTGGGTATGGTTTTAGGAAATATTCTAGTTTCATTCTTTTACATGTAGCAGTCCAGTTTTCTCAGCACCACTTATTGAAGAGGCTGTCTTTTCTCATTGTATATTCTTGCCTCCTTTGTCAAAGATTAGGTGCCCATTGGTGTGTGGGTTTATCTCTGGGCTTTATATCTTGTCCCTTTGGTCTCTATTTCTGTTTTTGTTCTAGTACCATACTGTCTTGATGACTGTTAACTTTGTAGTATAGTCTGAAGTCAGGGAAGTTGAATTTTCCAGCTGTATTTTTCTTTCTCAAGATTGCTTTGTCTATTCAGGGATTTTGTGTTTCCATACAAATTATGAAGTTTTTTGTTTTGGTTCTATGGATATACCATTGGTAGCTTGATAGAGATTACATTGAATCTGTAGGTGACTTTGGGTAGTATGGTAACTTTCAAAATATAGATTCTTCTCATCTAAGAACATAGTATCTCTCCATCTGTTTATGTTGTCTTTCATTTCTTTCATCTGTGTCTTATAGTTTTCTGCATACAGGTCTTTTGTTTCTTTAAATAGGTTTATTCCTAGGTATTTTATTCTTTTTGTTGCAATGATGAATGGAACTGTTTCCTTAATTTCTTTTTCTGAATTTTCATTGTTAGTATGTAGTAATGTAAGGAGTTTCTGTGTAGTAATTTCATATCCTGTGACTTTACCACATTCATTGATTAGCTCTGGTAGATTTTTAGTGGTGCTTTTATTGTTTTATATGTATAGTATCATGTCATCTGCAAACAGTGAGTTTTATTTCTTCTTTTCCAATCTGGATTTCTTTTATTTCTTTTTCTTCTTTGTTGCCATGGCTAGGACTTCCAAAACTATATTGAATAACAGTGGTGAGAGTGGGCACCCTTGTCTTGTTACCAATCTTAAAGGAAAAGCTTTCAGTTTCTCATCATTGAGAATAATGTTTGCTGTGGGCTTGTCGTATATGGCCTTTATTATGTTGAGGTGTATTCCTTCTATGCCAATTTCCTGGACAGTTTTTTTTTATCATAAATGGATATTGAATTTTGTCAAAAGTTTTCTCTGCATCTATTGAGATGATCATATTTTTTCTTTCAATTTGTTAACATGGTGTATCACACTGATTGATTTGCATATATTGAAGAATCCTTGTATCCCTGGGATAAATCTCACTTGATCATGATGTATAATTCTTTTAATGTGTTGTTGGAGTCTATTTGCTAGAACTTTGTTGAGGATTTTTGCAGCTATGTTCATCAGTGATATTGGCGTGTAATTTCCTTTTTTTGTGTGATATCTTTGTCTGGCTTTGGTATCAAGGTGATGGTGGCCTCATAGAATCAGTTCAGGAGTTTTTGTCCCTCAAGCAGTCTTTATTTTGTTGCATTTTCCTAATGGTCTATTTCTTGTAGCTGGAATTTAGGGCAGTCCAAGAAATCAGGTTATTCTTCTGGGAAGAGAGTCTTCATGTCAAATAGGGCTGGGCTGCCATGCCATTGACTCCTAGGTGGCAATACTTATCAGGGTAGGATGATTTATGGGTGTGTATAGATACCCTAGGTCCCATCATGCATCTTTGTAGAATGTGGTTTTCTGAGAATAGGAGAGAGTGTTCCAAGATAAAACCGTTGAAAAATTGTGAAATTTGGCTAAATTCTAGTAAACTATATGAAAGAGGACAGAAGAAGATAGAAGTCAGAGTTGTATGACTTGTCAGTCAGTGAGACTAATAATGAGAAGTCAGCCCTGTAGTTCTCTGGTACAGTATACAAAATTTCCTGGAAAACTCTTATTCCATACTTGTGGAGATGATCTTAGAGACAGAAAAAGGAGATACCATCCATTACTCTCTTCATGTACAGAATATAGAATCAACACCATAATCACACAAGAAAGGCAGAGAGAATGAAATCCAGACAAATCTACTGCAAATATCAAAGTCAAAATAATAAACCATAACATGTGCTAACCAAATGAATTCAGCAATGTATTCACAGTTAGAGACCAGTGATGAAATTCCAGGATTGCATATTGAATTTAATGTTGGCAATGTGAATAAATAGAAAGCTGGACATTAAGAGATTGAATGCAGAAAGATGTGACCATCTTCATGAGTTCAGAATCAAATGGTTGATTAAACTTGAATGTCATACATTGAGACATAAAGTTTTCTAAATTGAGTATCAGTTCCTGCCATAAAACTATTGGCAAACTGTATACAAGTGTTCTTAATTTTTAACGTAAAATTCCTGCAGAACTACAACACCATCCCACCTGAGATGAGCAAGGAAATCTTTGACATGAGGCACAATACAGGTAGGCGACTAACCCCTGAGTTGTGTAAGGAGGAAATTAAAATTACTTGCCAACAGTTTTGAAAAACTAAAGGTAGAATTTGCTGATGAGGGGATGATCAACTCAGACAATCCCAAAGATAAATGATTAGACTGCATAGGATTCTTGAATAGGATCAGTGTGTAAAAAATTAACACACAGAAAACATTTCTATGTCTTAAGTTCTGGCAAGGAATGCTTGGAAAATAAAATATGTGTGAAAGAGTTATACCAGCAAAATTTTTTTTGTAATTTCAATCTGATAAAAGTTGCTAAGAGACTGTGAGAGGGGAAGGGATTCAAATTCTTGAGAGACAGTCCGAGGTTGTAATAAAGGGGTAGAAATCTGGGAGAGGGGAATCCAAGGTGTTTATTAGCAATCAAAATGGAACTGAATTTGTTTTGTGAGTGGTCAGATGGAAGAATAACAGGCAGATTTCAAAGGCAAGATGCAGCCAATACACTGTTTTCTTCAAGAAAATCATGGTGGGAGCATATACTGGGACCTGATGTCAGGAATTATCATAAGGCTGCAGTTTTCAAGATAAGGGTATCCCAGTGCAGGAATAGTTACCACATCAGAGGAATAGAAGATTGAGTTCAGAAGCAGTTCATTGCCTAAATGGATTTCTGCACCACCCATTCCGTCTCAAGCCCCGGTGTCCTCCTTTTGTTACTGTGTTGTCTGTCAAGGAAGGATATTGTCTTCATAAATGCTGCTTGGACCACTGAACCATAGGGAAAAAATAAATTGTGCTAACAGTTCACACCACACACAGAAGTAAACATGTAGTAGGTTAGAAACCTCAATGTAAAAAGTAAAACCCCCCCAAAACCCTCAGATGAGAGCATGGTTTCTTTAAAGACTAAGGTTAAAAAAAATTTCTTAAATAGAACAGAAATACTTTATACTCAAAGGGATGAAAGGACAATGTGACCCTGTTGAAAGGAAAAACTTTGGTTTATCACAGGTTTTGATCAGAAAGTGAAAATGCGAGTCACACAGTTGGGAATATCCTTAAAACTTACCTGTGTGTCATTCTTTGGTATTTAAACCATGAAGAGTGGCCAGAGGTGAATCGAGAAAAGAGAGAGCCTACCAAGGGTTAGTGGGCAAAAGATTTGAATAGTGTAACTGAGAAGAAGAAAACAGTAAGATGAACCCAGTCCTGAGGGGAAAGGTGCTCAGCTTCTCCATTCCTCAGACAATGGCAAAGAAAGCCTTAGGGAGGTGCAAGCACTCCCCGCAGATTGCCACAAGTTGACAACAGTAAGAGTGGGCTGGGTGCTGAGCCTCAGACATCTCCACTGACTGCAGATGAGAAGTTCCTTGCATAACCATATGGAGAAGACTGGGGCACTATCTGGGAAGGTTGACGGATATTTGCATCATGAAACTGCAGATGTCATGAGCAGGGGAGATGTCTTTTTCAACAGCCCCTTTCCCAGGCCATTTCACATGGACCTGTGGGAGAATGCATTATTTGTGTGACTTGCTGCTGAGAAAGACAGAGTGTCCTCTGCAAGGCACAGGGCTGGTGCAGAACCTGGAAAAGTCTGCTCCATCACTCCTTCCCACCACCGCACTTCCCAGCTCCCCATCCAGGTCTTCTCTGCCCGGGGCTGCCGTCCTGACTGAGGTGCGGTCTCTGACCCTGTGCATCCCCCTCTGTGTCCCCAGAGCCCTCGGTGGTGTTCGCCAAGGAGCAGCCGGCACGCAGTGACGTGCAGGCCGTGGCGGGAACCAGCGCCACGCTGAGCTGCGAGGTGGCCCAGGCCCAGACGGAGGTGACGTGGTACAAGGACGGCAAGAAGCTGAGTTCGAGCTCGAAAGTGCGTGTGGAGGCCACGGGCCGTGGGCGGCGGCTGGTGGTGCAGCAGGCGGGCAAGGCGGACGCCGGGGAGTACAGCTGCGAGGCCGGGGGCCAGAAGGTCTCCTTCCACCTGGACGTCACAGGTCAGTCCTTGGAGGCAGTCAGTCAGCCTTATGTGGAGGTGATGGGCCGGGCTTGCACCCCTGACTGACCCGATGGTCTTTCCACTGGACTTCATCTGTTTTGGTCTTCTGTCCTCCCACCCCCATTTTCATACCCAAGGCTGGGCAAAGGGAGCTGGATGGGAGGCTGTGAACAGAAGGGAGAAAGGCGTTCTGTGAACCCAGAGTGGCATTTCCACACGGTGATGCACGGTCGTCAGTTCCCAGCATCTGCCCAGGGTCTTCTGGGTGTTCCCTGGTGTCTGGGCCTCTGGTTCTGTCTTGCACTTGGAGTCTGATGTGAACCAGATGTCTTTGAACTGTGGGCATGTGAATTCGCTCCTCTTGGCTGTCCTGACAGCTCCTCAGTGGCCCACCCAGCAATGCCTCTGGGTTCCCACTAGGAAGAGGTGTTTGAATTTCATTAAACCAGGACCAACATTGTCATACTTGATTTATCTCAAGACTGAATTATGGACTACCAAAATTGTAGGTGTTCTGGACACTCTTTCTCTTTGCACTGGATATTGAAATTATCTGTGTATCTACAGGGCTTCTGAGGTGGCTTAGTGGGTAAAGAATCTGCCTTCAGTGCAGGAGACGCAGGTTCTATCCCTGGTTCGGGAGGAGAGCATGGCAACCCACTCCAGTATTCTTGCCTGGAAAATCCCACGCGCCGAGGAGCTTGATGGGTTATAGTCCATGGTATCATGGAGAGGCAGCTGAAGGGACTGAGCACACATGCACATACACATCTGGGTCTATTTTGCTTTTGTAACGTGTGCAGAGTAAACGGAGAGCAGAGGATTGGTTGATGTGTGCCTGAAATATGCACATGTGAGGTCTGGAATTCTCTTTTCAAAGCAAACATGGATTTTCTTTGTCTTCTGTTGGAATATTCTATGTCAGAATAATAGTTGGAGTCTGATTCATAGATTTAGACTTGAAGAGGAATAGTCACTTCTCCTATACCAATATGCATGTATCTTTAAAGAATGATATTTTAGGAGAGTATGACAATTTTTTTCATGACAATAAATGTGAAAGGCTTGACAAATTAATCAGGTTCTTAGAAAACTATATACCAAGGGACACAGAAACACTGGACAACTCAGATAGTCTTAGAACCTTTTACTTGATTGGAATCATAGTGAAAAATCTTCCCACAGAGGAATGTTTAATCCCTGTAGTGCCACTGGTAAATTACATGAGCTACTTTAAAAAGGAGAACCTTGTTCATGGAGGTTATTCTGGAGAATAGAAAAATGAGATACAGTCTCTTCTTTGTTTCATGTAGATTGTGTAACAGTGATGCCAATATCTGACAAGGAAAGGGGTGAGGATTGAAATTATCATCAATCTATTATGGAGAGCAAGGCCAACATCTGAAAGAAAACATGATCAGAATAAGTTTAGCAATATATTAAGAGGATAACTGGTGATACGCTGTGATGAAAGTCATAGTCCAGAAGTGCAAGATTGTTGAAATACTAGAAATGTTAGCAAAACATTCTGTTCATGACATGCAGAATAAAGGATGAGATTTGGCATTATAAATAGAGAAAAAATGTTTAATGAAGTTTGCACCAATTTTTGCCATAAAGTTCTTAATGAATTATAAATAAAACAATTCTTTCTTAATTTGATCAATGACTCTGCAGGCAATCCAGCTAATTGCACACAAAAAAGTGAAAGTTTGAAAGCTTTGCTTATGAGATAGAGAACCAGACAAGGAAACCCACTGTTAATGCTTTTATCCAACATTTTACAGCACGGTTAGGGAAAAAATAAAATAATATAAAAGTGTGAATAAACAAAAGTGGAATTCACAGATAATATGATTTACCCAAAGATAAGTTATGAGACAATAGGATAGTTAAGAATAATTACTGTGGAAAAAGTTAGTATGAATAAAACAAACATCTGTGTCTAACAGTAGCAACAAACATGTTGAAAATGAAATTTTAAGAGTTAAAATAACATCAAAACCATCATTTTTTAATTACAAATCTAATAAAAAGTTCTGAGAGGCTCTGTGGTGGGGAGGATTATTGGAATTTTTTTGAGAGACGGTCAAGAAGTTCTAAATAGTTTAGTAGAAATCTACGAAGAATAAAAAATGTTCAATACAAATTAAAATCCAAAAAAAGTTTGTTTAGAGGGGACTTTGAAAATTGACAAGTAAATTGCAAAGACCATGGAGAGTCAATGCACTCGTGAAGAAAATCAAATATTTGGTGATATTACCAAATATCAAGACTACTATAAAGCTATAGTAATGAATACAGTAGTGTCTTGTTGCAAAGATACATACAGGCCAAAGCATCTCAAGAGTGATTTCAGACACAGACCTGAATGGCCACATTTCCCTTCTCCTTTTTAAAAATTATGGAATGGTGCAAGGCATAGAGGCAACATAGTTTTCATAAATGATACTTGGACCATTTAACCTATAGAGAAGAGATTAGACCAGTAAGTCATACCACACACAGTCAACTCCTATTGGGTTACAGACCACAGAATAGAAGGGAAAATCATAGACATAAATTGCTTTAGGATAAAAAATAATTTCTTAGAATACAAGTGTACTAGCCATATAATGAAACAAATTTGAAATACTTTACTAAAACTAACTGTGAAGATTCATCAGAAGTTAGCATAAGTGACCAAAAGGCAAACCACACAGATGTGGAAGACATTTAGAACATATATACTTGTCAGTGCCTTGCATTTAAATATATAAAAATGTCCTCAAAATGACAGAAGATGCTATTGAAAACAGGGCAAAATCTTTGAACAACGATGATGCGAAGAGCAAATAGCAGTGAGCAAAAATATCACAAAGGGTTCTTTCCTCCGTGTCATGAGAAAAATGCAAAAGAACACCACAGGAGGCACATGCATTCCCAACAGATGGCCAGCGTGAGAGTGGGCAGGAGTGGAGCCTCAGTGAGTCCTGGTCACTGTGATGAGAGCATGCACGTTTCTGTCGGGAGGATGGGGCTTCATGGAGGAAAGCTCCCATCATGACCCCACAGTTCCCATCCTACTAGTAAGTGGGCAAAAGATCTGAATAGTGTCACCAGGAAGAAAAAACAATAATGGTGACCCCAGTGCTCAAGGGAAAATGTGCTTGCTTCTTCATTTCTCAGACAATGACAGAGAAAGCCATAGAGAGGTTGCCACCAGTTAGCAATGGTAAGAGTAGGCAGAGGTGCCAGCCTCAGACATATAAATGGACTGCAGGTGAAAAGTTCCAAGGATGAAGTTATGGAAAGGACTGGCACCATCTGGGGAGGTTGGGGAGCACATGCCAGGTACCATGAGCAGGGAACAAGTCTGTTCCAGTGGCCACCCCATCCTGCAGTAGCTCTCATGGATGGACCCAGAGGAAAATTCATAAATTGTCACTTGTTGCTGAGAGAGTTTGGGTGACCTCGGCAGAGGACAGCACTGGTGTAGAGCCTGGAGAAGTCTCTAAGCTCTGTTACTCCTTCATACTGACCCCAAACTAACTCCCCATCCAGGTCTTCTCTGCCCGGGGCTGCCGTCCTGACTGAGCTGGGGTCTCTGACCCTGTGCATCCCCCTCTGTGTCCCCAGAGCCCTCGGTGGTGTTCGCCAAGGAGCAGCCGGCACGCAGTGACGTGCAGGCCATGGCGGGAACCAGCGCCACGCTGAGCTGCGAGGTGGCCCAGGCCCAGACGGAGGTGACGTGGTACAAGGACGGCAAGAAGCTGAGTTCGAGCTCGAAAGTGCGTGTGGAGGCCACGGGCCGTGGGCGGCGGCTGGTGGTGCAGCAGGCGGGCAAGGCGGACGCCGGGGAGTACAGCTGCGAGGCCGGGGGCCAGAAGGTCTCCTTCCACCTGGACGTCACAGGTCAGTCCTGGAGGAGGACGCTGAGCTAGCCTGTGTGCAGGTGCTGAGGGGCCTGGTTTCCAGCCTCACCAGACTTGTGTATCGCCTGTAAGCTTTAGGACTTCACACCTTCCAGTCATCTGTGTCCCATCTTGTACCCATTGGCTCCAGGAAGGCTGGATGGGGAGGGTTCTTGTGGAAAGAAGAGGGCCTGTTTGTGTGCGTCTGTTTCCTGGCAGTGAGGCTCAGTCACGCTGTCTTCTTAGCACCCACCCAGAACCTTCCTGTTGTTCCTGGTGTTAGGACCCAGGCTCTCCCTGATGTTTGGGGGCAGATGTAGGCCTGGGGTATAATTGACTTTCCTCCCATCATATATATGTCTTCCCTGACAACTAGTAGTCACCCTCATCTATAACCTCATGCTGCTGTCAGCTGGCCAGGGGTATTTCACTTTGGTCAATGCTGGATTAAGGAAAATATCGGCCACACAGTCCTATTTGGAATTCTCTTAGGGGTAAACTTTGGATGATGAAATTCGAGGTTTCTGGGATGCCCTTCATTCCTTTTCCTCTGTAGAGAGGGTCTGGTTGCTGGTAGGTCCCAAGAAATAGGCTGCTTTTTGTTGTCACTGCCTTGTGAAAGGAAGAAAGAAATGATGATGGTAGAGAGTCCCCTGTGCTATTTAGGGTGATCTTCTTAGATAAAGTATGATTTTCCTTTGTTTTGAGAAAGGTTGGATGTTTCAGGTCAGTATTCCTCTTGGCATTACATTGATGAATTTAGGAATGGAAAGGAGAAAGTCATTTCTACCTCATCAGTGTGGATTGTTAAGAAGAAGTTACTGTCCTGCAAGCCTCTGACGGGCAAAGCAGCCTTTATTTCCTTGCGTTTTCCTAGTGGTCAGTGAGTGTCTCTTTCTCATGGCTGAAACATCAGGCAGTCCAAGAAATCAGGTTTTTCTTCTTCTGGGAAGAAAGTCTTCATGCAGAATAGGGGTGGGCTTCCATGCCACATTGACTCCTAGGTGGAAACCCCTAAGAGATTGAGACTGTGCCAGTGTAGCAGGATGCGTGGGTGTGTATATACCCCAGACTCCACCAGGCATCTTTGTAGAATGTGATTTTTGAAGCACATTGAAGAGTACTTTAAGGTAAAAACCCTTGAAAAAGTGTAAAATGTGTCTAAAACCTAGTAAAATACGTGAAAATCAGACTGCCTGCAAAGATAGAGAAAACTCAAAGAATTGGATGACTTGTAATCGATAGGACAAATAATGAAAGGCTTGTCAGCCTTGTAGTTCTCTGGTAAACTGTATAAAATATTCAGGAAATTGTTATCCCATGCTTGGAGATGGTCCTAGAGAGAGAAGAATGAGATACCCTCCATAACTGTCTTCATGTACAGAACATAACATTGATACTGAAATCACTCCGGAAAGACAAAGGGAAGATGAAATACCAGACCAATGTACTGTGAGTATCACAATTATGAATTAAATGTTAACAAAGTGAATTCAGCAGTGTATCCAGGGGTAGAGATCAGTGGTGAAAGTCGTAGTTCAGGATTGCATGTTGTATTAATGTTGACAATGTTGATAGAAAGCTTGACATTAGATTGAATGCAAAAAGATCATTTCCGTGAGCACAGAATCAAATGGTTGATGGAACTTGCATGTCTTACACTGAGACGAAATGTTTGATAAAATCGAGTATCAGTTTCTGTCATAAAATTCTTAGTAAGCTTGATAAAAGATATCTTCTTTTTCATGTTACTGCATTCTGGCAAAAACAACAACAACATCCCACTTATGGTATACCTGGAAGTCTTTGATGTGAGGGACGGCACACTCAGGCCACTCTACCTACTGAGTTTCAGTAAGGAGGAGAATAAAGTCATTGGCAAAGGCTTTTAAAAAGCTAAAGATGGGATTTGGTGATAATGTAATGATCAACTCAGACAATCCCAGAGATAAATGATTAGATTGCATCTATTTCTTGAGTAAGAAAAGTGTGTAAAAAATCAGTATGCAGAAATTATTTCTGCATCGTCCTGGCAGGGACCATTTGGAAAGTTAAGTTTGTGTGGAAGAGTTAGACTAGCACAATGGTAGCGTGTTTCTAATTCCCAGGCCTGATGAAAGTTGGGAAGGGTCTGTGTGTGAGACATTATTCAAGATTCTTGACAGGCAGTCAGAGGTTGAAATAGATGGATAGAAATTCAAGGGAAAAAGATCAAAGATGTTTATTAACAATCAAAATCGAAACCAGGTTTTTGGGGGGTGGGTCAGATGAAAGATAAACAGGCAGATTCAAGGTAAGGTACAGCCAATGTGTTGTTTTCTTGTAGAAAGTCAGAGTGGGAGTCTTTACTAGGACGTGATGTTGAAAATTACCATAAGGCTGCAGTTCTCAAGACAAGGGGTCCCAGTGCAGGGATGGTTACCACACTGGAGGAACAGAGAACTCAGTTCAGAAAGAGTTCATAAATGACTTCCCAGCACCACCATCCCCCAGCACCTTTCGATTGTTACTGTCCTATCTATTCAAGAAGTCAAGGGAGGATGTTGCAGAAAGAAATAGTGGTTGGATCACTGACCCACACAGAACACTTAAATTGTACTTAACAATTCACACCATACACAGAAGTCAACTCAGGGTGGGTGGAAACCTCAGAGTAAAGGGTAAAACCAAGAGAAAAAAAGCCCTCAGATAATAACAAGGTCTCTTCAAAGACTTAGGGTAAGGAAGGATTTCTTAAGTAGAACACAAATGCTCTAAACTCAAAGGGAAGAAATGGACATTGTCACACTATCGGAAGGAAAACCTTTGACTTAACAGAGGACTGGATCAGAGAGTGAATATACGAGTCACACGGTTGGGAATATCCTTAAAATTTACCTGTTTGTCATTCTCTGGCACGTAAATGTATAAAAATTGGCCAGAGTTGAATCAAACCCAAGAGAGCACCTACTATTGGCAAGTGGGCAAAAGATTTGACCCTAGTCACCAGGAAGAAGAAAACAGTAATGGCAAACCCAGTCCTAAGGGGGAGGTGCTTGCTTCTTCATTCCTCAGACAGACAAAGACACAGAGAGCCACAGGGAGGTGCAGGCACTCCCCCAGATGGCCACAAGCTGAGAATCCTGAGAGTCGGCAAGCGCGCCGAGCCTCAGCCATCTCCGGGACTGCAGGTGAAAGGTTCCTGCATGGTAGTATGGAGAAGACTGGGGCACCATCTGGGAATGTTGGGGAACAGTTGCCTCGAGACCTGCAGATGTCATGAGCAGAGAACAAGTCTGTTCTCAGGGCCTCCCACCCGGGACGTGCTCCTAGGGACCTGTGGGAGAAAGTGTAAATTGCGTCACGTGCTGAGAAAGGCAGGGAGACCTCTGCAGGGCACAGGGCTAGGCTAGTGGAGAAGTCTCCAGCTCCACCATCCTCCTATGCAGCCCCCCACCTTTCCATCCAGGTCTTCTCTGCCCGGGGCTGCTGTCCTGACTGAGCTGGGGTCTCTGACCCTGTGCATCCCCCTCTGTGTCCCCAGAGCCCTCGGTGGTGTTCGCCAAGGAGCAGCCGGCACGCAGTGACGTGCAGGCCGTGGCGGGAACCAGCGCCACGCTGAGCTGCGAGGTGGCCCAGGCCCAGACGGAGGTGACGTGGTACAAGGACGGCAAGAAGCTGAGTTCGAGCTCGAAAGTGCGTGTGGAGGCCACGGGCCGTGGGCGGCGGCTGGTGGTGCAGCAGGCGGGCAAGGCGGACGCCGGGGAGTACAGCTGCGAGGCCGGGGGCCAGAAGGTCTCCTTCCACCTGGACGTCACAGGTCAGTCCTGGAGGAGGACGCTGAGCTAGCCTGTGTGCAGGTGATGAGGGGCCTGACTACCTGCCTCACCAAACACGTGTGCAGTTGCCTGGATCCTCCATCTCTCAAGCCTCCCTGTGTTCCATGTCCCAGTTGGTCCCCACTTTGGCTGGGGGAGCATGTAAAGGGAGGGTGTGCTTGCAGAGAGGAGGCACCATTTCTGTCCGCCTGTGCCCAGGCAGTGAGGCTCAATCTCAGTGTCTTGGCGCCTGCCCAGAACCTTTCTCCTGTTCCTGCTTTCGGGACCCTGCCTTTCCCTGATGCCTGGGGGCTGAGGTCGGCCTGGAGATAAGTTACTTTCCTCCCATCATCTGTCTTTTCTGGGAGCTAGCACATGGCCTCATCCAGCCCTTCATGCTGGTCCCAGTTGACCAGTGGTGTGACAGTTTGAGGGATCTTGGATCAGGGGAAAGGTTGGCCACACAATCCTCATTGGCCTTCTCTCAGAAGTGAACTTTGAATTACAAAATTTGAAGTTTCTGGGATGCTGTTCCTCCCTTTTCCTGGATATAGAAGCTCCAGTTGGCTATAGATAGAAAAAAAATAGACATGTTTTCTTGTCACTTCCTTGCAAAGGGAAGAAACAGAGGATGACTGATGGAAGTCGCTTGTGCTACTTTGGGTGATCTTCTTAGATCAAAGATGGTGTTGCCTTTGTCTTCTAACAGACTCTCTGTTCCATGTCAGTATTCCTGTCCGTGTTACACTGATGCATTTAGAAATGGGAGGAAAAAGTCAGAGCTGCCACGTCAGTCGGCGTTGCTAATGAGGATGTACTGCCCTCGCAGCCTCTGACTGGCAAAGCAGTCTTGATTTCATTGCATTTTCGTAGCGGTCAGTAAGACTCTCTGCCTCATGCATCGCACCTCAAGCACAGGACGGTCTAAAAAATCAGGTTATTCTTCTGGGAAGAGGATCTTCATGCCAATATAGAGATGGCCTGCTATCCCACATTTTTTTTCCTTTTTTAAAAAAAAATTATTAATTTTTAATTGAAAGGTAATTACTTAATAGAGTTTTGTTGTTTTCTGTCAAACATCAACATCAATCAGCCATGGTTATACATGTGTCCCCTCCCTCCCATCTCCTGCCCCATCCCACACTTCTGGGTTGATACGGAGGCCCTGTTTGAGTTTCCTGAGACATACAGCAGATTCCCGTTGGCTGTCTAGTTTACGTACAGTGATGTAAGTTTCCGTGTTATAGCTCACTCTCTCCTCCCCTCTCCCCATGTCCATAAGTCTGTGTCTCCATTGCTGCCCTGCAAATAGGTTCATCAGTACCATCTTTCTAGATTCCATATATATACATGTTAGTGTACAATATCTATCTTTCTCTTTCCGACTTACTTCACTCTATAATAGGCTCTAGGTTCATCCACCTCATTAGAACCGACTCAAATGCATTTCTTTCTATGGCTAATATTCCGTTGTATATATGTACTACAACTTCTTTATCCATTCATCTGTCGATGGACATCTAGGTTGCTTCCATATTCTAGCAATTGTAAATGGTGCTGCAATGAACATTGGAGCACATGTGTCTTTTTCAGTTTTGGTTTCCTCAGGGGTATATGCCTAGGAGTGGGATTGCTGGGTCATGTGGTGATTTTTTTTATTCCTAGTTTTTTTTAAGGAATCTCCATACCGTCTTCCATGGTGGCTGTATCAATTTACATTCCCACCAACAGTGCAAGAGTGTTCCCTTTCCTCCACACCCTCTCCAGGATTTATTGTTTGTAGACTTTTTGATGGCCATTCTGATTGGTGTGAGGTGATATCTTACTGTAGTTTTGATTTGATTTCTCTAATAATGAGCAGTGTTGAGCATCTTTTCATGTGTTTGTTGGCCATCTGTATGTCTTCTTTGGAGAAATGCCTGTTTAGGTCTTAAAGATAAAGACCATTACAGTATACTAACACATATATATGGAATTTAGAAAGATGGTCTTTTTCCCACTTTTTGATCGGGCTGTTTGTTTTCCTGGTATTGAGTTGTATGAGCTGCTTGTATATTTTGGAAATTAATCCTTTGTCAATTGTTTCATTTCCTGTTATTTTCTCCTGTTCTGAGGGTTGTCTTTTCACCATATTTGTAGTTTCCTTTGCTGTGCAAAAGCTTTTAAGTTTAACTAGGGCCCACTTGTTTACTTTTGTTTTTATTTCCAGTACTCCAAGAGGTGGGTCATAGAAGATCTTGCTTTGATTTATGTCATTGAGTGTTCTGCCTATGCTTTCCTCTAAGAGTTTTATAGTTTTATAGTTTCTGATCTTGCATTTAAGTCTTTAATCCATTTTGAATTTATCTTTGTGTATGGTGTTAAAAAGTGTTCTAATTCCATTCTTTTACACGTAACTGTCCAATTTCCCAGCACCATTTATTGAAGAGGCTGTCTTTGCCCCATTGTATATTCTTGCCTCCTTTGTCAAAAATAAGGTACCCATGGGTGCATGGGTTTATTTCTGGGCTTTCTGTCTTGTTCCATTAGTCTATACTTCTATTTTTGTGCCAGTACCATACTGTCTTGATGACTGTAGCTTTGTAGTATAATCTGAAGTCAGGAAGGTTGATTCCTTCAGCTCCATTCTTCTTTCTCAAGACTGCTTTGGCTATTCGGGGTCTTTTGTGTTTCCATGTGAATTGTGAAATACTTTGTTCTAGTTCTGTGAAAAATTACCAATGGCAATTTGACAGGGATCTCATTGAATCCATAGAGTGCATTTTGTAGTCTAGTCATTTTCACAATACTGATTATTTCTACCCAGGAACATGGAATATCTCCCCATCTGTTTATGTTGTCTTTGATTTCTTTCATCAGTGTCTTATAATTTTCTCTATGCAGTTCTTTTGTCACCTTAGGTAGGTTTATTCCTAGATATTTTATTATTTTTGTTGCAATGGTGAATGGGACTGATCCCTTAATTTCTCTTTCTTATTTTTCATTGTTAGTATATATGAATGCAAGTGATTTCTGTGTATTGAGTTTGTATCCTATGACTTTGCTAAATTCACTGATTAGCTTTAGTAATTTTCTGATAGTATCTTTAGGGTTTTTATGTGTAGTATCATGTCATCTGCAAACAGTGACAGATTTATTTCTTTTTTTCCAATTTGAATTCCTTTTATTTCTTTTTTTCTCTGATTGCTGTAGCTAGGACTTTGTAAACTATGTTGAATAATAGTGGTGAAAGTGGACACCCTTGTCTTTTTCCTGATCTTAGGGGGAATGCTTTTGGTTTTTCACCATTGAGAATAATGTTTGCTGTAGGCTTATCATATATGGCCTTTGCTGTGTTGAGGTAGGTTCCTTCTCTGCCCATTTTTTGAAGAGTTTTAATCATAAATGGGTGCTGAATTTTGTCAAAGGCTTTTTCTGCATCTATTGAGATTATCATATGATTTTTATCTTTCAGTTTGTTAATATTATGCATCACATTGATTTGTGTGTACTGAAGAATCCTTGCATCCCTGAAATAAACCCAACTTGATATGGTTATGAGCTTTTTAATGTGTTGTTGAATTCTGTTTACTAGAATTTGTTGAGGATTTTTGTATTTATTTTCATCAGTAATATTGGCCTGTAGTTTTCTCTGTCTGGTTTTGGTATCAGGGTGATGGTGGCCTCATAGAATGAGTTTGGAAGTGTTCCTTCCTCTGCAATTTTTTGAAAGAGTTTTAGAAGAATAGGTATTAGCTCTTCTCTATGTGTTTGATTAGAATTCACCTCTGAAGCCATCTGTTCCTGGGCTTTGGTTTTTGGGGGATTTTTGATCACAGTTTTGATATCAGTGCTTGTGGATTGGGTTGTTCATTATTTCTATTTCTTCCTGCTTCAGTCTTGAAAGATTTAACTTTTCTAAGAATCTATCCATTTCTTCCAGTTTATCCATTTTATTGCCATTAAGTTGCTCATAATAGTCTTATAATCCTTTGTAGTTCTGTATTGTTGTAACCTCTCGTTTTTCATTTCTAATTTTGTTGATTTGTTTCTTCTCTCTTTTTTTCGCGATGAGTCTGGCTAAAGGTTTATCAATTTTATCTCCTCAAAGGATGAGCTTTTAGTTTTATTAATTTTTACTATTGTTTCTTTCATTTATTTTTCATTTATTTCTGTTCTAATCTTTTTGATTTCTTTCCTTCTGCTGATTTGGGAGTCTTTTTATTCTTCTTTTTCCAGTTGTTTTAGGTGTAAAGTTAGGTTGTCTATTCAATGTTTTTCTTGTCTATTGAGGTAGGATTGTATTGCTATAAACTTCCCTCTTAGAACTGCTTTTGCTGCATCCTGTAGGTTTTGGGTTGTCATGTTTTCATTGTTATTTATTTCTAGGAATTTTTTTATTTCCCTTTTGATTTCTTTAGTAACCTGTTCATTATTTAGAAACATATTGTTTACTCTCCTTGTGTTTGTGTTTTTTACTGTTTTTTTTCTTATAATTGATATCTAGTCTCATAGAGTTGTGGTCAGAAAAGATGCTTGACATGACTTCAATTTTCTTAAATTCCTGAGGTTTGATTTGTGACCCAACATGTGGTCTATCCTGGAGAATGTTCGTGTGCACTTGAGAAGAAGGTGTATTCTTCTGCATTTGGATGGACTGTCCTGAAGACATCAATGAGATCCATCTCATCTAATGTATCAATTAAGACTCGTCTTCCTTATTAATTTTCTTTTTTGATGATCTGTCATTGATGTGAGTGGGGTGTTAAAGTCTTCCGCTATTATTGTGTTACTGGCAATTTCTCCTTTTATGTCTGTTAGTGTTTGTCTTGTGTATTGAGGTGCTCCTGTGTTGGGTACATAGGTATTTACAATTGTTATGTCTTCCTCTTGGATTGATCCCTTGATCATTATGTAGTATGCTTACTTATCTCTTATAACATTCTTTATTTCAAGGTCTGTTTTGTTTGATATGAAGATTGCTATTCCAGCTTTCTTTTGCTTCCCATTTGCATGAAATATA